GGAATGTGTTTTGACGAGCTGTTCTTCATGCTTTGTCCAGTACGTCGTATATTACTCATTCACTTATATTTTTTCATATGACTTAAGCCCGGATAAACATACATCCATTTTCATGGTGGTGCGTTTTCAATGCTGTTCAGTATATATATTTATAAGAGAATGCTATCTTTTGAAAAATGAATGGGGCACATATACGTACATTGACAATTCTTGCAGTTCCGTTCTGTTGGAGAAAAGTACATGGAAATATCCTACCTTATGTATTTTTTCAGGGTTCTCACCAATGAAATAATGTGTAATTAGTGTGGCAGGACTTTCGGGTTTGTTGCAGTATGCTCTCGTGTGTTTGACAGTGGCACACATGCATGTCCCCTAAAGGAACATGAACCATTGTGAAATGTGATCAACAGGTTTCCATCTATCAGTCAGTATGATGTACAAAAATTCAAAATAAATGCAGATCATCACCAGCTTAGGATCTGACACCCTTGATCATTTTGATGGGTTTCTGAATATCCAGTCAGTGTAGGTCCTTATGTTCTATGTGTCTCAGCCTTCTGGGTGGAGTGAAAAGAAATGTCCCTGTATACATGATTACCTTTGTCAGATGTATATGGTTTATTTTCGCATACGTGTACTGCTGCAAAACCTGTATTTCCCTTGTATATGCAATCACAGTATCAAACTTCATCAGCTGGTGTGTCACAAGTTCCTCAGTTGGCGTGTATTAAAGTGCCATCATGCATTTGCAATAAAAAAACCCACATTTGTCCTTCCTTGAATAATCTTAGGTTTAGTGCTTGAAATTTTCAGTGTCATAAATTATTATTTTCCAAATTTCATAAGGATTTTTCTTTGATGGACGAACGTCAAACCATCTGACAAGTTAGATAGAATTATAACTTTAAAAGCCCTCATTTCTGAGGTGTCCATATTTTTCAGATTTCTTTTCTACTTTTAGGACAAAACATGAGCCGTCTACCTGATCTTGGTTACATAAACAAATACATGTTTTAAAATGTGAAATGGAATTCCACTGATTAGAAATCTTGTTTTATCCCATTGTTTTACGAAATCCATTTGACATGTGCTTTCTGTACCTAAAATGTCATGAGAGTTTGTACCCAAACAGGTATGTGCTTTTGTGCCCAGAATATTTTTGTATTTCTGTTTTGTAGTTTCAAATTTACGCGTGGCATTTTGTTTAAAAAAGTTAATTTATTATCACTTTTCTGCAAAAAACCCACTAGATCTACAATTAACTTATGGCTTACCAATTTACTGGCCTCCTCTCCAGTGACAAGAATTTATGACTTTCCTATCACAATCAACCAATTTGAGTTGTGCCAATGTGGACTGACTTCACTCAAGGACCAGGTACATTTAGGTTAGTCATATTCTGAACTTGATGAAATGTTTTAACATAATGTTTAGCTCACTGTTTGCAATAAACATGCAAAAATAAATATAATCGTACAGATTTAGTTTAGTTTTCTTGGGTACAAAATCACCAAGTATTTTGGGTACAATTATTTTTGGGGTACAAAATCACATAGGCCCTACATTCATCCAGTTGAAGTGTATCTACATCCATCAATTCTGAAGATTTGGGAAGGGGAGTAAACGTTTTAAAAACAATCCTGTCAAAAACAATGACAGACCAATAACAATATCCTGTTGTTATTTTTATGGCATATCAATATATATTATATCGCTCTCCGCTGCGGTCGTTTTCAGAGAATAATTTTCAAATCATCGAGCGTGGAATCCTTTATGGTTTCGGATTTAGACTTACGCACTGGCGTCAATCACGAATTAATATGAAACAAACAGGAGTGAAGACTGCTATCCAGATAAATAAATAGTAAACAGTTGTCAAAAAATAGTAAATTGTGTATTTTCTTTTGAATTTGAATCTTTTTCGGAATTTTTGGGATGATAGCTTTCCAACTTTTGCATATTTTGTTTCGATGTGTCATGCGGTACGTGCTTCCGGTTTCAGAAATGATAGCTAAAATGTAAGTATTTGATTATTTTTCGTAAACTGCATTATTTTGCTATTGAATGGTTTACCTAGAATGTATATCAGTTCAGATTTTGCGTATCATCCATTATTTGTCATTATTTGCAGTGTTTGTTGACTTTGTTCAACTAAACAAATCGCGAGTTAGGCCACGCCCAAACGTATCACTGACGTTTGTCGGCTTGTCAATGTGTCCGAAAGTTTAACAAAAGAAATCATTTGCAAACTCTATAAAAATGAGATATTTTTTACACAGATTTGTACATGCGTGTCAATAACTCTAGAAAATTAAGTTAGATGTAACAAAATTATTGTAATAGTCTTTCGGTATCACTTTGCATGTGGAGTTGTTTGTTTACCGCCGTTGCTATGGTTGTACAAGTTCCATCCAATCGATGATGTTACGATTCAGATTGTTTTTGTTCATAATTAATTACATCGAAAATTGCTAATTTTTAGAATATTAAGGAACTTGAGTGTTTTCCTTTCGTCAGCAAACAAAAAATTATGATCGAATGTGAAAAATGATAACATTATAAAGAAAATATCGGACTGCCTGCCGCTCAACGTGACGTGCCAAAAGTCAACAATGGCCGTTTCTGGTAGTTGTGTGCCGAGAAGTTTGGCCGAAACATTTTAAAACTAAATTTAAATGTAACAATGTGACGTAAATAGATATGGCGAGTTTTGTCTGTGGGTGTCCTTATGCTATTCGCCTGTCAAACTGGTTCGACAGTAGCAACACGGCTAGTGACACAATCTGTCGAACTGGTTCGACAGTAGCGTTGAGAGCTTTAAGGCACGTGAAGGTCCGGGTTAGAATTGGTCTTCAGCAACCCATGCTTGTTGTAAGAGGCGACTAACGGGATCGGGTGGTCCAGCTCACTGACTTGGTTGATGCATGTCATCGTATCCCAATTGCGCATGATGTCAATCACTAAATTGTATGGTCCAGACTCGATTATTTACAGACAGCCGTCATATCGCTTGAATATTGCTGAGTACGGCGTTTAACAACAAACAAATGCTAAAAAATGAAAGTATGAATGAACGCGGTTACAGCATTGCACTGATGAGCGTCTTTTAAATTCAGAACTGATGAGCGTCTTTTAAATTAAGCCTCAAATATGTTTCATAAATTGTTTTTAAATATAGCATGATAAAAAATGTTTCATAAATTGTTTTTAAATATAATTTTGCATAAATAACTAAATTGTGAATACATTGACTTGGTCTCGTCGCTATATGGCTGAAATAATGTCGATGCGACGTTTAATTTTAACTCACTCACTCACTTTTAAATTCAGCGTATTAAGCCAGTTTGCAAAGCAACAGAACTCGAACCAGTGGTCAATAACATGAGGAACTTTCCATGCCGTCGGGGTACGATGACCCATTACTGATTAGCTCACACCATAGTCATATGTGTATGTCAAAGGAAAATGTCTGACACAAGGAAGATTAAGTAAACCGTAAGTTTAGAATTTCCGGGGAAAAAAAGAACCTTTATATTGATGATACGATGTGCCCTGGAACCCGCGAGGAATCCCCATCTGACGGCGTTCATGTTTCAGATGGAGCGAGGGCAGGCGTGTATTTGCATAGAAATAACATGTAATCTCGTCCCCTCTATGAGTTAAAGCCGCAATGTAAATACGAGCCATATTCTTGATGTTTTCTTTGATTGAGTGTTGTATTTGATACGAAAGAGTATTTTTATGGTTTTGACGTCTACACATCTCTTAGGCTACACGAACATGGTATTTGGTTGTTGCAATCAACACCTCAGATTAGGATTGCCATTAACCCCATTATGCCGTGTTATGGAATCTGGGTCACTGGTGGCTAGTCGCCAATGGCCTATAATTCGCTGGGCAGAGTTGCGTCCGTTGGGCACACAATAAACCTACGATTGTGGGTTTAAATCCCCGTTCGCCCCGTTTATGATTCTAGGTTTGGCAGCACCATACCTGTTCGTAACATAACTGTTCAAAGCGGCGTTAAACCCAACCCAACTCACTCACTCACTGTTATTGAATCTATTGTCCGATTAGGGGCGGTCGGGTAGCCTAGTGGTTAAAGCGTTCGCTCGTCACGCCTAAGACCCGGGTTCGATTCCCGAAATGGGTACAATGTGTGGAGGCCAGTTTCAGGTCTGCCCAGCCGTGATATTGCTGGAATATTGCTAAAAGCGGCGTAATACCACCAAATCACAAAACCTAGTCATATCTATTGATTATAATTTCAAGAACGTCCACCCTTTTTTACAGACAACACTTTATTCTGAGTGAGTTATTGTAGTGGTTGGGTTTAATACCGCTTCGCACAGTATTCCAGTTATATCACGGAGTGTCAGGAAAGCCCGAAGTGATGCATGTCTCGGACGTTTACCACTTTGGTGAAACCCACGAGCACGGGTACGGTGCTGACAAACCTAGAACCAGAACCAGGGCGATTCTGGGATTCACAGGGACGGAAATGAATCCTGGTAGTCTATTGATAAGGAAGGGAAATTTTTAGAGCGAATTGTAACGTTTTCATAAAAGATATAAAAAACACCGAACCATTCACTGAATCTTTTGTCAGCAATGTACGGTAATGCGGACGCATAACTTCTATTATCTCCCCACTGGCTTCCCATACATTCCTTCTTAGTAATCCTTGTGTTAATCCCATACCCATCAATCACTGTACATCAACCCTATCTCTTGTTTAAACTTGTTTATCATAACTACCTATCAATCAGTGTACATCAACCTTATCTGTCATATAAACATCTATCTATTGTTATGTATATATATCGTGCTCATACCTAGTTTGTACATCATTTGCTTGATAACGGTGTTAGAATCTACACCGAAACGTCGCCCAATTGTAATAAAGAAGTTGCTCATCCATAACAATGTTGTCTTAATGCGGACGTATACCCGATATTAATATAGACAAAAACAACAATCTGTTATCTCTAACTAAGACATTTTATTGTATAGTTTAACGTCATATAACGGTTCATTTATCTACAGTTAAAACTCTCTCCAATAAACATTCTAAACTACTTTATCATCACAAAATAAATTTGAGATTTGGAAACCGAGTCCATCACCAAAATGAAATTCAAAGCAGAAATGACTAAAATCAAACTAATCTGTACTGCATTTCTTGTTTTCTTCAAGATGCAAATACCAACGACGGTGCCTTTGACGAGATACAATTGTAATATCTGTGGCATGGTATTGGTGACATGACGTTGGTAAGCAAATGGAACGTACATTATTCAGCACCTTGTTTTCATGGTTAAAAGCATGAGTTCAAGTATCAATCATGAGTGGTTCACAATAGATGCCAGTATCAATCATGAGTGGTTCACAATAGATGCCAGTATCAATTATGAGTGGTTCACAATAGATGCCAGTATCAATCATGTGTGGTTCACAATAGATGCCAGTATCAATCATGAGTGGTTCACAATAGATGCCAGTATCAATCATGAGTAGTTCACAATAGATGCCAGTATCAATCATGTGTGGTTCACAATAGATGCCAGTGTCAATCATGAGTGGTTCACAATAGATGCCAGTATCAATCATGAGTGGTTCACAATAGATGCCAGTATCAATCATGAGTGGTTCACAATAGATGCCAGTATCAATCATGAGTGGTTCACAATAGATGCCAGTGTCAATCATGAGTGGTTCACAATAGATGCCAGTATCAATCATGAGTGGTTCACAATAGATGCCAGTATCAATCATGAGTGGTTCACAATAGATGCCAGTATCAATCATGAGTGGTTCACAATAGATGCCAGCGTATGCCAGGCATCTGCATTTGTCCTTCAACCGAAATGCTGCTATGCTGTGCCTGTTGGACTAGGTTAGATATGTGAATAAAATATCATAAAAATATTTGTGTTTCTCACCACTTTCCGACCTGTTAATAAAGCGAAATAAATAAAATTGGTTGGTTTGTTGGCCGCACTCAGCAATATTCCAGCTGTATGACGTCGGTCTGTAAATAATCGACTCTGGACCAGACAATCCAGTGATTGATATCATGAGCATCGATCCACGCAATTGGGATCGATGATAAGCATAAACAAATACGGTAAGATAATAATTGTGTTAGGATTATAGGCCTGGGAAATAATATCTATATATGTACCCAATTCTATACAATTCTATTCAGTTCTTCTCATGGCTATATGCTACTCAATTCTACCACATTATCCGGGCACGGCGGCTCAGACGTGAAAGACACCGCAATTCGCTATGAATTGCGTCCCTTAGGCGTGCAAGGATCCTATTCAATTCTACGATTCGGCCTGATCATGATCCTTGTTTGTCAGCACCATACCCCTTAATTTCTCCCAGATTAAGCTGACACGCCGTGATATAACTGAGATACTGTTCCAAACGGCGTTAAACCCAACTCGCTCAGTGGTATTATATCACAGTCCTGTTGTCTATCACAGGCAGGCACATGACTCTACACAACCTCGACGTATCATATAATTTATAGCCAGAAATAACATATATACTTCATAACAGTCCAAACTTGAATTGAAATTATGACACAATTTAACACATAGATATATATATTATATTGCTGCAGAGGTTTAACATCCCGTCATCCACTCATCGTTACGTCTTGGTGACAGTGCAAGCATCTGATTCCACACATTTGTTCATAATAGTAGGCTGGGTAGTCCACCGTTTGTTCGTCACGCAGAAGATCTGGGTTCGATTCCCTACTATCCCATAAGGGGAGGTGGAGTAGCCATGAGATAACAATGTTATCCGGAGACCGAGTTCGAATCATGGGTACAAAGCCCTAAGCTCATTTGACCCCCTTCCCGTGGCTAATGTGTTACTAAACAAGAGTAAAGCTTATTCTCCCATTGGGTAGTGTAGTGGTTGAAGCGTTCGCTCGTCACGCCCAAGGCCCGAGTTCGATTCCCCACATGGTGTGAAGCCCATTGGTGTCCGCTGTGATGTTACTGGAATATTGCCAAAAGCGGCGTAAAACCATTGTCAGTCATTGTTCCTCAGCATTATCTCCAGGCTCGCCTAAACGCCTCATCGAATACCAGGCGGTCGGGTAGCCTAGTGGTTAAAGCGTTCGCTCGTCACGCCGAAGACCCGGGTTCGATTCCCGAAATGGGTACAATGTGTGAAGCCCATTTCTGGTGTCCCCCGCCGTGATATTGCTGGAATATTGCTAAAAGCGGCGTAAAACCGTACTCACTCACTCACCCATCGAATACCAACTGAAAATGGACATTATTATTAAGCAAATGATCAACAAAGAGACGAATGACTAATAAATATGCCCCGTTAACACGTAGACAGGATAACCCAATTATACAAACATCAGTCTCCCACGTCTCCAAAACTTTTGTTCTCATCAAGTATACATGAATGTTTCCGATACTGATATAGGATTTATACACCATTCCAAGAAACAATGCAATTAAATCACTGATTATGTTCAGGTATCCTTGTGGCTGCTCTACATTAAAACATCACGCAAACATCAAAGGGCTCTTACATAAAAGTTCTCAAAACCAAAACTGAATAAAGACGAAATTTCACGACGAAGCAGTCGAGCCTATTTCAGAAATAAGTATGAAATGGACTGTATGCACGAATAATTTTCTTCGAATAAATAGGAAACAAAACAACAATAACTTGCAATTATTCTATGAGCTTTGGGGGGCGGTCGGGTAGCCTAGTGGTTAAAGCGTTCACTCGTCACGTCGAAGACCCGGGTTCGATTCCCGACATGGGTACAATGTGCGAAGCCCATTTCTGGTGTTCCCCGCCGTGATGTTGCTGGAATATTGCTAAAAGCGGCGTAAAACCAAACTCACTCACCCACTCACTATGAGCTATGGCGTCCAAAGCACGCTCTCACTATCAGATGTGACGTCATTAGCCTGCATTCCCTACTCCAGGAAGTGACGTCACCAGTCATGCCGGTGTTCTGAAGCTGCAACGGTGGGCTTGTAGTGTAGTTAACTCACAAGACAACGAGAAGTAGCTGTACAAGCTCGGAAAATAGATTCGATGTTACACATCTTCACTTCAAAATATACATGCATATATAATCGAATCTTTGATTGTTGCATTGGTGAATAATGGGCGAACGCATTGGCCTTTTGTACTGGGTAATGATATCCGCAACACTCTGAAAACCAATTTTGCACGGTCATATAATCCTATCCAGCTCTCCGACTCCATGAAGTTAATCCAGTGACTTTCATCTACTAACATGACGGCTACACATTTATAATTCACTCATACAATTCCCCTTTAACAGCTACAAACGCCCAAAGCAGCACATGGTTATCAACACTTTCTATTATCATGCTATCCGGAAATCGTCTGCTCCAAGTTAAATGAAGGTCAAAGGTGATGTCAGTCGCAAATCTGATCACGTTTCCTCATCGCTGCAGATTTTTCCATTATTCGAAAATTGTCTGCTCCAAGTCAGATGAAGGTCAAATAGATGCAAATGAAGGTCAGTCCCTAAAGCCGAACAAGTATTTTTCCATTGGTGTAGAATAGTGGGGTTGTATTCCTCTTTCTTCTCGGAGCTCCTCTGCTGGGAAGAACGCCGGTGGTTCTTCCTTGACCTCCACGAAGCCGAAGTATTTGACTAGTGCCACTCCCGGGATCCACAGAACAGACGCAAGGATGAGGATGACAGCCAGAATCTGACACCACCACGGCCAGGGCAGCAGCACCGGCATACCCTGTCGACAACAAAACATATGACCTGATGAGTAGAATTTTATATTAAATCACAACCGACCCAAGGGGAGACGAAGATGCTTAGAATAATATCACATGAGCAATGGAAACTGTTTCGTCGGATAATAGAGACTTGACCTGGGTCGGTGTTTGTTGTGGTGGACTGAAGTCTCTTAGGGGCGGTCGGGTAGCCTAGTGGTTAAAGTGTTCGCTCGAGACGCCGAAGACTCGGGTTCGAATCCCGACATGGGTACAATGTGTAAAGGCCTTTTCCGGTGTCCCCCGCCATGATGTTGCTGGAATATTGCTAAAAGCGGCGTAAAACCATACTCACTCACTCACTCACTCACTGAAGTCTCTTAAACTACTTTCTTTACTTATAAGCGGCAGAATCTCTGCATTGTACACAGCAGACGTATTCAAACTTAAAATATCGTCTTTAGTTTCAACAAAGTAAGTAAATGTGCTCCCAAGTGACTGGCGTTCTGACCATCCTTTGAATAACTTGTTTGTTTACATGCCGTCGCCTCACAGCACGACTACTGTGCGATATCAGCCAACACACACACACACACACACACACACACACACACACACACACACACACACACACACACACACACACACACACGCATATATACATATAGTGAGCCCAGAGAGGTGGGCATTAGTGAGTGAGTGAGTGAGTTGGGTTTAACGCCGCTTTTAACAGTATTCCAGTTATATCACGGCTTAATGTGGGAGGAAAGCCCGAAGTCATGCAGGTCTAAGACGTTTACCACTTCGGTGAAATCCACGAGCTGAAAAACCTAGAAACATAATTGGGGCGAACCGGGATTCGAAACCACCATCATAGGTTTCTGGCGTGCCTAAGGGACGCAACTCGGCACAGCGAATCGCGGCGCCTTAGACGACTGGGCCATCCGTGCCCCCAGGTGGACATTAAAAGTGACAAAACCCTTTTCAAAATCATAATAAAATCTCTGCCAAGTTCATTGTACGATTCCGACAGTATCATGAGCATGTGTTTATGAGACACTATCAAATAGGGATGATACCAGTTGCTCGCGTAAAGGTGAGCGTATCCTGTCCCGCTGGTTGTAATCGTCTCAAACACATGCAAATGCAAGTCAATTGTTTAGGTGAAAAAAATGGGCAATAACATCCGACACAATTTTTGAGCAAGCGTTGTATGATGCTCTTTAAAATCTCTATGGAAAGAGCGTGCTCGATTGCACTTCAAAGGTTGTGAAATTTAGACTCCAAAGGCTGCAGCTGCTGGAGTATTGCTCAACATAAACAAATTCCATTTTTGCCCAGACTGGTCAGGTTAAATAGGTGTGCTTGTGTTAATGGCTTGCAATCTCTATATTCCGCGTCCATCCATCAGTGCATCGTCTCTAGTCAACGACTACATTGTCATTCCGCAGCTGTTGTTCCTGATGCCGGCCTTAAAGGATGGTATCGTTAGACAGACCTGACAAACTGCCTTTTCCTGCTCCTTTGCCTCTCATTAATAATACGGTATTGATCAGTTAATGGGACCCTCGTTATAACAGTGTTTTCAAGCTTTTAGCCATCATGTGCCGAGAGCCTTGTATAGCCTAAGTCAGGAACACTATTGACTTGTCGATATACTCGCATACTGTTTGGGACGAAATAGGTAAAGAAAATATTTTGAGTTAACAAGTAGTAATTATTGAGAACAGATATTTCAAGAAACGCCATTACCATATATGGAATGGTAAACGTACAGATCCCTTGTTTGAGTACGTTTATTGGGGTTGTTAAAAGCTTTTCATAGCGTCTTAACATCGTGTTGAGGATCAAACGACAAACATCATACTCTATCATTGTTTGGAAATTCTGAGTAAAGATAGAAAGTTTGTTTTTAAAGTGCATGGTATTTGTTTTAATGTCATGAAGAATATAGAACGAAGCGCCACTCGTGGTTTATTCTGCCAGCAGTGTTTTATTGTACGATAAATAACGATCACGAGTCATTTATTTCTTAAATATATTGACACTCGGAAGAAAAAAGTCAATGACCGGTGTGTGAGTGTGCGTTTATGTGCGCGCGTATGTGAATGTGGTGTGTGAGTGTCTGTGTGCGTGTATGTGGCGTGTGTGTAGTGTGTCTGTCAGCGTGTGTGTGTGGTAATGAGGCGTGTGTGTGTCGTGTGTGCGTGTATGTAGTGTGTGTGTCTTTGTGTGCGTGTGTGTATGTGGCATGTGTATGTAGTGTGTGCGTGTGTGTATGTGGCATGTGTGTGTGGTGTGTGTATGTGTGTGACAGTGTGTGTACGTGTATGAGAGTGTGTGTATGTGTGCATGTGGCGTGTGTGTATATGTGTGTATATGTGTGAGAGTGTGTGTATGTGGCATGTGTGTGGTGTGTGAGAGTGTGTGTATGTCTGTGTGCGTGTGTGTATGTGTGTGAGAGTGTGTGTGTATGTGGCGTGTGTGTGGTGTGTGCGTATGTGGCTTGTGTGTGGTGTGTGTATGTGGCGTGTGTATGTGGCGTGTGTGTGGTGTGTGCGTATGTGGCGTGTGTGTGGTGTGTGCGTGTGTGTATGTGGCGTGTGTGTATGTATGTGAGAGTGTGTGTATGTGGCGTGTGTGTGGTGTGTGCGTATGTGGCTTGTGTGTATGTGACGTGTATGTGGTGGGTGCGTGGTGTGTGTGTGTGTTTGGGAGTGTGTGTATGTGGCGTGTGTGATGTGTGTGCGTATGTGGCGTGTGTGTGGTGTGTGCGTGTGTGTATGTGGCGTGTGTGTATGTATGTGAGAGTGTGTGTATGTGGCGTGTGTGTGAGAGTGTGTGTGTATGTGTGTGAGAGTGTGTGTTTATGTGGCGTGTGTGTGGTGTGTGCGTGTGCGCGCGCGCGCGTGTGTGTGTGTGTGTGTGTGTGTGTGTGTGTGTGTGTGTGTGTGTGTGTGTTCGTGTGTGTGTGTGGCGTGTGTGTGGTGTGTGCGTGAAACTATTACCCTTACATGTACAACGTTATACATGATGTTTCAAGTGTAGCTGTGTTTTGGCGCACCAAACCTTTTTTTTAATGTTCAGTGAACGTTTCTGCTGCCACTCTGGGTTACCTGAAGCTTGTTTTCAATTTGTTGTTGCATCATGTACAAGTTGCAGCCTCCGTTGATAAATAAATCACCAATAAAGCAGATGTTGCTGTTTATTTGTTTTGAGGAAGACGATTCCAACGGGAACGGGGCTGTCCGGGTTGATGAGATCTCGCCGTCTTTTAGATTTAAAAGTTTTGAAAATTGTTTTCAGGAAAGCGTAATGATTCTGAATTTTGCCGCAAGGGCCTTTTCTCATTCGTCTTTGAAGGAGAAATGGCTTTTATGCTTGGCAATGTTCGCCTTCATCACACTCCACAAAATCAAATAGTAACTGATCAGATTAATTGAAAACGCAACCGGGAGTTGATCTAGTTATACAAACACGTAACCCTCAACCGCTGGCGTGAAGCTGAGTGAGACTCCGTCAGTGTCATACCCTTTATATAAGCAGGTGTGTGCTTAAGTCCAAAGATGGACGAGATCTCGTCTCGCGAGAGTAATCAGAGACATTGGGTTTGGATACTTGATTGCAATGTTTCTCTGAGGCTACTGAAATTCTACTTTCAAATTTGGTTAAATATAAAACTATTGATTTCAATCGGAAGGCAATAAAGCTCCAAGGTTCCAAGGCTCCACAGCAGGGTTGTACTTAATCAGTTGATCAATATTGGTTTCATGGGGAAGTAATCTCCTTACAGCAGCCTTCCAATACACTTGAGATAGAAGCCTAAAGTTCACATGCATTTAATCAACATGTTGTTTCTATATATAGTAGTGGTAGTGTTGTTCCTACAACCGACATGGGCTATGTTTGTTTGGAGACACAATACTACACTGTTCATTTAAACTAATAGTTAACATTTAGTAATTCACGAGTCCAAATAATATTTGCTACACATAGCTACAGATAGTCATGTCCCCGAACATAATTTACACAAAACAGGTCACTCGGCAGTGGAGTCTAACGCCGCAGACAAATATTCCAGCCGTACCACAGGATGTAATAATCGAGTCTGAATTAGACAAACAAAGGACTGAGTGTATGATCAGTGACCTACGTCGTCAGGTAACGCTAGGACCAGTCTTAGTGCCTGATTATCCAGTACCAAGTTTAGTCAACTCTACGACCGGCTTAGGTTACTGGGGGTGAAGGGATCGTTATCGTGTAGGTTACTTGCGATAAACTGCCGGGCAAAAGAAAGTATACACCCTTTTTTGATGGTGGCTAAAAATGAAAAAAACCAAAATAACAACAACAAATGGTTATTCGATGGTGTATTTGATACGGGTATCATTGTTGTGTGTTGGACCTTCAGTTTGCAATGTTGCGGCGACTGTTTTCAGCCACGTAACGTTTTGATAACGTTTGTCATTTTTTGGTCCGATCGAATTTTCAAGTGTATACTTTCTTTTGTCTATCAGTTAATGTACCCCCCGGAACTGTTTTGTATGTAGAACTGTACCCTGACCGAAAACGTAACGTAACGTAAAGTAACGTAACGCAGCGAGTCTGGAGATGAGGTGAAATTAGGTTTAACGTCGCGTCCAAGATTATTGCACTTATATATCGACATGCAAACACGCGCGCGCGCGTGTGTGTGTGGCTGCTTGTTCTAGTCCGGACTGATGCCGATTTATAGTGCTAGCCCACTGAGATACCATGCCGCAGTTGAACATGAATACCCCACTCAGACACAGTATACTGACTCCGAGCCGACCAGTCCTTGTTTTAGCCCCTCAATGCCGAGAGCCAGACAGGGTAACAATAAATACCATCTTTTAACGTCTTTTGGTATGACGCGGCCGGGGAACGAACCCCGGACCTTCCGCTCTCCGGGCGGACGCTCTATCACTAGTCCACGGAGGCGGTCTCGTAGCGAGTCCATTACATGGGACCCGTGAAAATGCCGGGGTAGAATAGGTCTTCAGCAACCCATGCTTGCCGTAAAAATTGACTATGCTTGTCGTAAAAGGCAATTAACGGTATCAGGTGGTCAGGCTCGCTGACTCGGTTAATGCATGTCATCGATCCCAATTGCGTGGATCGATGCTCATGATATTAATCACTGGATTGTGTGGTCCAGACTCGAAGATTTACAGACCGCCGTCATATAGCTGGAATATTGCTGAGTGCGGCGTTGAACAACAAACAAACAAACATTACATAGTGTTCGAAATCTGTTTCAGTTTAAAGTAGGACTAAGCTAGCAAATTGGCAGTTATACAAAGTTTCTTGTCCTGCTAGTTCAAACTGTACAGTGTATATCAGTTCAGTGTTTATGGTTATCATTCAAAGACAATGGCAGAATTGGCACCGGACAGTGGAAAATTGTCCCTGTTAGCCTGTAACATCAGCTTCACATCCTGCGGGGGTAGAAAAGCGACTGTTGTGTGGGTACATGGAACACATGAGTGAGTGAGTGAGTTTGGTTTAACGCCGCTTTTAACAGTATTCAAGTTATATCACAGCGTGTCAGCTTAATGTGGGAGGAAAGCCCGATGTGATGCAGGTCTTAGACGTTTACCACTTCGGTGAAACCCACGAGCACGGGTATGGTGCTGACAAACCTAGAAACATCATCGGGGCGAACCGGGATTGGAACCCACAACCATAGGTTTCTGGCGTGCTCAAGGGACGCAACTTTGCACAGCGAATCGCGGCGCCTTAGACGACTGGGGCACCCGTGACCCCCATGGAACACATGGTGCTCCAACACGCACAGTCATGAATAAACTCAGCAGAGGTGGGCCCACCGATGAATGTATATATCCAGTAGTTTCAATTCTAGGCAGCGGGGGGGGGGGGGGGGGGGGGGGGGTACATTCTGTCTTTTATATATATTTCGGTCAAGGTACATTTCTGTAGTACCCTATTCGACAACGACTCCTTCAGCGTTACGCGGGACCAGTCCTACCTTAAATCTGACCGTGGCTACCTTGGCAGCATCCTCACCTCAATCCAACACCTCCATCAACATAAACATGTCTACCGATATTTACTTTTAACCCATACCGTCAGCCATTTCCGTCAGACGCATTTGACAAATGGAGGCAGTTCAGATCTAAGTGCAAACGCTGACTATTCCGCACCCGCAACTGCACACACTCTCATGCATAACACACTTGTATTAACGCTGAAACGGGTTATCTGCCACGCAAGCACCACAGTCTCACAAACATACGCACAGGCATACACACATACGCACACACAGGTGTACCGGCAAGGGTTAACGCACATACCCTCATGCTTAAACACACTTGCATTAACGACCCGTAAAGATCCGGGGTAGAATAGATCTTCAGTAACCCATGCTTGCCGTAAAAGGGGACTATGCTTGTCGTAAGAGGCGACTAACGGGATTGGGTGGTCAGTCTCGCTGACTTGGTTGATGCATGTCATCGTATCCTAGTTGCGTGGATCGATGCTCATGATGTCAATCACTGGATTGTCTGGTCCAGACTCGATTATCTACAGACCGCCGTCATATAGCTGGAATATTGCCGAGTGCGGCGTTAAACAACAAACAAACAAAAATACAAAAAGACTTGCATTAACGCTGTTACGGGCTGTCTTTCACGCAGACACCGCTGTCGCACACGCACACGCACACGCACATGTACGCGGACATTCACGCACATGACACTTACATTTAGGCTGAGATTTACGGTGTCACAATCACACGCAACATTAACACACATACATTCCCGTACAAGCACACGTAGCAACGTCTACCTTATTAGCGTCCCACGCCTCGTACACTACTCCGTCCCTAAAGATGGCGAACAGGCTGGCTATAAAGATGACCAACATGGCGGCGGGCGCCAAGAATCGCCAGCAAAACAGGAAGAAGTAGCTGGGGCGTGAACCAAGCATCAGTTCAATGTCCTCGCTCAATCTGTAAACACAATTAGGCGTGTGGGTGTGTTATTTATAACAGTATTTGATAGTTATGCGAAGGTGTGTCGGCTTAAAGGGCATTCACACTTGCCTTAGTAGCTGCAGTTATCCTTAGAGATATTAACGTAGCCAAAAAAACACCAACGTGTCGAAATATGTCAAAATCTTCACTACGTCGAACAACGTTTCTCTATCAAAGTGTTACCAGGGAAATGTCCGTCAAATTACAGACAAGTACGTTGTACTAGAGTGAACAAAATTGAAGTACGAAAAGGGTGCTACACATTATCTACGTTTTCCTACGTTAAGCTACTTTAGACTACATTAAAGTACAGTAGCTAGTACATTTAGGTACGTTGAACTACATTTAAAAGCGTTACAACTCGGGTAAACAACGCCCATTTCGCGAAGAGTACAGCGTATATAAAGAGACATGTGGTTTTCATCATTCTTTCACTTTTGAATTCCTGACAAAGCACATATATATTTCATTCCTTTCGTCATTTTGGTCTTAGTTAGGGTTAGCTTAACCAAAGTCTAGCCATGAGGAAAACAAGAAACAGGAGAGGTCAAACCCCAGCTTCTGACATTGATGGGGTTACTGAGGTTCCTGAGAATGTTTCTGGGGTTGCTGAGGATCCGATCTATGAAGGCTTGCAGGATATTGATAAAGTTGATGCCACTCCCCCAGATCCAGAAAGCCCTCAGAGTTGCAATGTCCAGGAAGAGGCAGCTGGCGCAAGTACAGTCACGAGCGAGGACGCAAGCAAAGGCACATGTACAGCAACAACAGTCCCAACCTCATCCACATCTGCTATCTCAGACGCAAACACAGCATCAGCAGCCACACACCATCCCTCCTGTCACATCATCCACCAGTGGGGACTACAAGATGGCTTCAAATATTGCGGTTTCACATCAGCAACAGTTTATCAACAACCGCAGCAGGGACAGTCAGAGCGGTCTTCAAGTGCACCTCCAGCACATTCACTACAGGACTTCCTTGAATTCTAGAGTGGAGGTTTTGAGGAATGAATTGACCTTTGTTCCTGTTTGGCAACCACTGTTACCACTGCCTGGAGGATCAAAGACTGTAGATGCTTCCCTATATTTTTATTTTGTATGTTTGTTTGTATTTTAAACATAAAGTTAAAATTTAAATACAAATGTGATGTTGTTGATATGATATGATATGAAAACAGCCAAATTATTAACAAAGAGAGTTGTGCTAACAAACCAAAACAACCTGCTTGTTCCTATTAAAAGGCCATTTGAAACAGCTTCTATAAATAAGGTCCTATTTTCTAATATAGATAGAATCTAAATTGAAAATAGATGTTGGAAGACCCTCATTTCAATTAAAGGTAAAGCTTATATTTAGTTTAAGCTGCTTTACTGTATTTAATCGGTCAAATCTTACCCTTTAAAGGTTTTCAAATGTTTTGATAAAGACATCTTTGCTTAGTATTCATGCAAAATCTGATATTATTTTGTCGAAATTTAAGAGGTGAAAAGGAGGGTCAGAACTTTTGGGTCGTACTTTACATTTTGGCTGCATTTTTCCTGCCATGGAACCGACCCCACGGGTAAACAAAGGTAATGTTTCAGGTAAATCCGCTGCTTCTTGGCTACTACTGTGTCACGGTTACCCCAATAAGTGTGATTCATGTCCTCTAAGTTGGCTGTGTCCCGCCAGGCACCAGGTACCAAGTTGTGGTTTGCATCTTCCTTGTCCAGGATCATGACATCATTGGAGGGGTTCCTTTCTCTCAGGTAGTTGTGCAGCACCACACACGTTCTCACTATCAAAGATGCAGTATCTACCTGAACCTGGACAGTGCTCAGCAGACACCTGAATCTGTTTGCGAGTATCCCAAAGGCATTCTCAACCACACGGCGATCTCGAAAGGCGTTTATTGAATACTAGCTCATCGTGTGCCAGTCCCCGGCGTGAGAATGGTTTCATTAGCCAACTCTGCATGGCAAAGGCATCATCTGCAATGATGTAATAACGGTTATAATTAAAGGTATATCAACATCGTCATATGGTAAAGGCTCTGCATCTTGTATACCCAAGATTCCCTGTTGTATTGATTGGTGGAGGGCACAGTGGTTCCATATTTGGCTATCGAAGCTAGACCCAACATCACAACCTGAATCCATCGGAATTGTAATCTGCATCAACCAGGCCTATTAATACAATAGAGCAGAACCCCTTGTAGTTATAATACGTAGAGCCTGAATTCGAGGGCTTTTGTATGGCGATATGCTTGCCATCAAGAACACCCAAGACATGTGGAAATTGCCATCTTCCTTGAAATCGCTCTGCCACTTGTAACCCATCTTGGGGTTCGATAGGAGTCTTCATAACCTCGGCTTCTATGACATCCAAAATAGCCTTACACACGGAAACAATAATCCCTGAGATGGTGTTGTGAGCAAGTCTGACATTATACATCAGTGAGTGGTATGAGTCTCCAGTAGCCAAGAACCTTAATGTCACAGCCAGCTTGAGTCCAGGAGACACAGGATCACGCCATCGGGTCCCATTCTTGGTGAGGCGGTCCTCTACCCTTGTTCATGGAATGTGGCCATGTCCAAGCGCAGAAGGTTCTTGAAAGCTTCAGAATTCTTCCATCAGGGCGTCATACTGACCATGGATTGATCTGCGCAGAAGCCAGTCACGAGCCCACCATCGTCTCTGTTTTCTCTGCTTCTCTTCGTCCTCTTCAAATTGCATGAGACACTGGGCATAACATAGCAGCTCTTTGTTCACAACAGCCCAGAAGCGTATCATATTTACTCTTCTATCACTCATGTTGTGTCTGCAGAGTTCAGACAACAAATGATCAGACTGATGTCATCATGGGTTATAAATATCACGTGTATCAACCCATACTTGCTACCTAGTGATCTTTAGTTTATCTTAGTTTAACTTATTTAAACGTATTTTAACTTACTTTAACTTACTTTTGCTAAGAGCACACCTAGCAAGACGTGATATAGCATTTTCAAAACGTAGATTACTGTACAAATACTTACTTCACTGTACCGGACCGTTCTTTAATGTCAATAAGGTAAATGTAGTGTAATGTAGTATAACCGGGTCATGTGAAGTTGAACGAAGTTAGACGGACTTGTGCCCCTACTATGATGTAGTTTACCGTAGTTGTTCGTAGATATTTTTATGCCTTGATAACCACGATGTTCGTTACGTTTGGTTACAGTAGACTATGGTTATAACTACGGCAAACTACATCAAACTACATTAAACTAAATTACTACTACGTTAACAAAAATGTCAGCTTACGTGGCTATCTGTTGTGCTACACAACAGATAAATCCCTAAGTGCGTCTTTTTCACGTTAATGGCTATGTTATAAACACAGATAGCCACGGACAGCTACGATGAACCACGTATGGATACGTTACACTACGTAAGATTTTTCTACGCTTTAGTACGTTATTTAACGCAAGTGTGACTTAGGCCTAATGTGGGAGAAACGCTGAGCTGTGGACGTTCACCACTCCAATACTGAAACCCACGATCATGATGAAGCGCTGACAATAAAGGATAAGAAAATTAGGTCGAATCTTGGGTTAGAACCAACCGACAGGGCTCCTGGAACGGATAAGGGGCGGAACTCCGCACATATATCAGAAATGCCTTAAAGCACCTGTATCGCTACATTGTATATCAGAATTTACACGTTTAAGAAAGAACTTGCATGTGTCTATACTTGGTTGATGGTGACTCGTCCAAAGAAACCATACCAAACGCAGAGCAGTGATGCCATTTTATTCCTAGTAGATTATTGCAGTGATTCGGTGTGGATCCCAGATGGATCCTGTAGTGCTTGGAAGTGATGGTGTACGTATTCCGCATTGATCCTGGCAATGATCTGTTGTGGATCCCAGATGTATCTTGGTAGCGATCTTGTCAGTAATCCTATATGTATTCCGGTTGATCCTCTGTGGATGCAAGATGTATCCTGGTAGCGATCCTGGCAGTGGTTCTATGTGGATTCCGGATGGATCCTGGCAGTAATGCAAAATGTATTCCGGGTGGATCCTGGCAATGATCTGTTGTGGATCCCAGATGTATTCCGGGTGGATCCTGGCAGTAATGCTATATGTATTCCGGATGGATCCTGGCAGTAATGCTATATGTATTCCGGGTGGATCCTGGCAGTAATGTTATATGTATTCCGGATGGATCCTGGCAGTAATGATATATGTATTCCGGGTGGAACCTGGCACTGATCTGTTGTGGATCCCAGATGTATTCCGGGTGTATCCTGGCAGTAATGTTATATGTATTCCGGGTGGATCCTGGCAGTAATGATATATGTATGCCGGATGGATCCTGGCAGTAATGCTATATGTATTCCGGGTGGATCCTGGCAGTAATGTAATATGTATTCCGGATGGATCCTGGCAGTAATGATATATGTATTCCGGGTGGAACCTGGCACTGATCTGTTGTGGATCCCAGATGTATTCCGGGTGTATCCTGGCAGTAATGTTATATGTATTCCGGGTGGATCCTGGCAGTAATGTTATATGTATTCCGGATGGATCCTGGCAGTAATGCTATATGTATTCCGGGTGTATCCTGGCAGTAATGCTATATGTATTCCGGGTGGATCCTGGCAGTAATGTTATATGTATTCCGGATGGATCCTGGCAGTAATGATATATGTATTCCGGGTGTATCCTGGCACTGATCTGTTGTGGATCCCAGATGTATTCCGGGTGGATCCTGGCAGTAATGTTATATGTATTCCGGATGGATCCTGGCAGTAATGATATATGTATTCCGGGTGGAACCTGGCACTGATCTGTTGTGGATCCCAGATGTATTCCGGGTGGATCCTGGCAGTAATGTTATATGTATTCCGGATGGATCCTGGCAGTAATGATATATGTATTCCGGGTGGAACCTGGCACTGATCTGTTGTGAATCCCAGATGTATCCTGGTAGCGATCTTGTCAGTAATCATATATGTACTTCGGGTGTATCCTTTGTGGATCCCAGATGTATCCTGGTTGTGATCCTGGCAGTGGTTCGATGTGTATTCCGGGTGTATCCTGGCAGTAATGATATATGTATTCCGGGTGTATCCTGGCAGTAATGTTATATGTATTCCGGGTGGATCCTGGCAGTAATGATATATGTATTCCGGGTGTATCCTGGCAGTAATGTTATATGTATTCCGGGTGTATCCTGGCAGTAATGTTATATGTATTCCGGGTGTATCCTGGCAGTAATGTTATATGTATTCCGGGTGTATCCTGGCAGTAATGTTATATGTATTCCGGGTGTATCCTGGCAGTAATGTTATATGTATTCCGAGTGGATCCTGGCAGTAATCCTATATGAATTCCTGGGTAGATCCTGGCAGTGATCCCTGATTTATCCTGGGTGGATCCTGGCTATTCGTTTCCTAAGTGGATGTACAGACTTTCCATCGTGAACACTCACGAATACTCACTGTTTTAATCCGTAGATGTAGGAGACGGCGATGCATTCAGTGAAGGCGATGATGAGGAGCGGGATGTTTGCCGAGAAGGAGTCAAAGAGGGAGAAGACGTAGGGCCCAGTTGTCGTCCCGAAACAGAGCGAGACCACACAGGAGACGAGGCACACGATCCCTGTACGGGAGAGGAAGGCACATGCTACTTAGACATGGAAAATAACATCCTAAAATATGCCTAGCCTAATTACACCGGTCTTGATTCCATGTGTGAGCAATATTCCAGATATATGACGACGGTCTGTAAATAATCGAGTCTGGACCAGACAATCCAGTGATTGACATCATGAGCATCGATCCACGCAATTGGGATACGATGACATGCCTCAAACATGTCAGCAAACCTGACCACCCGATCCCGTTAGTCGCCTCTAACGACAAGCATAGTCGCCTTTTACGGCAAGCGTGGGTTGCTGTAGACCTATTCTACCCCGGATCTTCACAGGGTCAATTCCACTGAAAAATCGGGTTTAATACCCTAATATACGAGTCAGGTTAAATCTCCTCAGTGCATATTTTTTTAAATACCATCCCAGCGTTCTCCGTCGCTGCCAAATAGCCAAATGCGACGTTCATTTCAAGCCATTCATTCGATTACTAATACGGAATAATAAGAATGTGTATTTTTGTTTATGCATGGAGCGATGAATAATTGTGATCTTACCACAAACGATCTCCTTCCTTATGCGTGGGAACAGCATCATGTCGTTGATAGATGTAAGAGCGCCTTCCAGCGTCCCAAACATGGAGTCTAGACCTAAGGTCAGTAGCATAAGGAAGAACAAGACTGCCCAGAGAGGGGCCACGGGGAACTGGTTGATGGCGTCCGTGAAGGCGATAAACGCCAATCCTGTCCCTGAGGCTGACTGCAAGATAAATTCAGGATTATTCTCTTCCGGCCTCAAAAAGGCTCATTACTTGATGACAAAAATACTATTTCAAAAGTGTATGCATTTCCTGTGGTTTAATGTTTGTGACAGCAGCACTGATGGTATTTCCTCCCTCGCCCAGCAGATCCGGCCCGGCTAAGGGGTGTAACTCTGCACATCGAATTGCTTTACTTTAGACCACCTGGCCATCCGTGACTCCAACATAATGTTGTTGATAAAAGCGACAAAGACCTTTCCATATTCATAAGAATCTCTGCTAACATCAGTCACAAACACATGCAAAGGCAAGTCAATTGTTCACCCGAAAAAACACGGGAACCCTTGTTAAAAAAGGGAATTGCATCAGACAAACATTTTGCAACTGATGCGTCAAATTTGGAAATATTCTCCACATATCCACCATAAAATGTTTTTAAAGACATATACGTTGTTAAAAAGCCGTATAAGATAGATGAAAAAACCCGCTATGAGAAGGTTATAAATTAAGAAAATTGGCACATTTGATCAAACTTAATGATTTCACAAAGGGGCTAAAGCTGCTATGAACATATTGAGACATGTTCCCTGGAACTATCATCAGACGTGTGAAGATTGTTGGTATCGATCATTATATTAGACAGCTGAATGGGATGAATCTATTCATAATTGATAGCTTAAATTCTTCGTCTCTCGCCCACTCACTTGGACCAGACAGAGGTACGTTCAGCAGATCACCAGGATGGGTATTTTAGGCTCGAAGTTCCTTGCAAATCCATGATGGGAGCTTACCTCTTCAATGATTTTCTTAAAGTTACATTCTGTGGTATTCTGCGATGACTCCAGGTAAGGACCCATTGCAGAGCTGTGGTTGCCGTGGTCAGCTAAACACTGCTCGTAGGCCATCGTGGCCTTAAAACCTGGAGAGAGTCAGGCAACGTTTATAGTATGACTTAAACAACAATGAAACAAATGACTAAACTATTATGTTTAAGGGTAACATACGAGGGTCGTTCAATAAGTTTTGCAACTTGGCATTTGTGTTGACACAAACAATGTCAACTTGTGGCAGGTGTGACACTAGTCATAACATCAGGTTGACACATGTCATAACAAGTTCCAGACACAACAATAAGTTAGATGTGATGGCTTCATTCACCTAAGGTGTCTCAAAATGAACAACGCGCTGTAATAAAGTTCCTTACATGCTCCGGTTCACAAGTCGAGAACTGCACAGGCAGTGGATTCGAACAGTTAAATCACCCACCCTACAGCCCAGACTTTGCCCCCAGTGACTATTTCCTGTTCCGGCAATTGAAATCTGCCCTACGTGGAAGACGCTTCCAGGATAAGGAGGACATAAAGGCTGCCACAGAGGCATGGTGAGAGGGCCAATCTGCGTAATTCTATAAAAGTGGTATTAAAAGCGTAAAAGACAAATGGAATAAGTGTATTGAGGTGAATAGAGATTATATTGAAAAATATAAGAGCAAAAGATATTCTGCGACTTGCGACTTTTTGAACGCCCTCGTATTCTATAATCCTTGGCACAATAACATATAAACGTCTAAGACCTGCATCACTTCGGGCTTTCCTCCAACATTAAGCTGACATGACGTGGTATAACTAGAATACTGTTCAAAGCTGCATCAAACCCTACTCACTCACTTACTCTCTCTCCCTTCATACTTTTTGTAAACAAGAATCAATTCTTAATGTGAGCGAGAGTAAATCGATATTGGCTGACCTGCCTTTCGGATTTCTCGATCAAAACACAAGACTTAAATACTGGATATAAAAATATATCTATTTTAACCAGATCACGCAATGTAATCTTCTACCTCTCACGTTAAATAAATCATATCACAGCTGCTAAAACTCATCTCAGAGTCACGTTAGAGCTGAAATGCAGTTTCGACAGTCACAGTTTATTAGTGTATTACTGGCTTCACTTGGGTGCGAGAATTTCGGTGACTGTCGTGGGGATATGGGATATATTCAGATACAAGATTTATTTATCCTGATTTAGAGGTTCAAGGCCTGGAGAAGATTCATCCTCTATATATCCAGGCCTGGAACACCAGCACCATCCTTCGGAACCATTCCCGTTGTTCCCGCAATCTCAAATTACCTGCGGGGCGGTCGGGTAGCCTAGTGGTTAAAGCGTTCGCTCGTCACGCCGAAGACCCGGGTTCGAATCCCGACATGGGTACAATGAGTGAAGCCCATTTCTGGTGTCCCCCGCCGTGATATTGCTGGAATAATGCTAAAAGCGGCGTAAAACCAAACTCACTCACTCACTCACTCAAATTACCTGCCCTTGAATTTCACTAACATTTTACCGACCAATTATACGTCGAGATGAGGAAAGAGGAAATGGGTAGGGGAGGACTTGCCACCGCCATTTTAATAGGACATGAAGACATCCGTTCCATCAGAAAGATTTTTTAGGGCTTATTTTGCGTGTATGTAATTTTTTCAATGCTGAATTTCTCGCAAGCTCTATCGTAAATTCATGGGACTTGGCCGCCATGTTTTTGATATTGCCAACCCAACATTGAGGCTGGCTGGTAACTCGCATTCTGATTGGTCCGTTAGACAGAGTAGGTAGCCAATCCAATTGGCTAATGAAATTAAGGGTGGATAATTTGAGATCGCGAGAACCACGGGAATGGATACAGAGGTTAGTGTAGATTTATCGAAATGCAAGCCCTGGATATATAGACGATGAGAGAACATCCAGTTCTACGATCTTGTCCAAAAAATGAATCATGAATACAGTTAACTAGTTTTATGTACGGATCTTTTAACTTTACTATTCGTCGGTGCCATAGTAGAATTGCTTATCTTTTTAACTGTCATTCGAGAAATCTTTAAAGGAGATAGATACTTAAACTTTGCGATAAAATCTAAAAAAACTCCTATAGACTCATTTGTATCAAATCAACCTGAGCGGCCACACATCTGCCAAAAAATCAATCTTGATCTAAATCGGTTATTGTGCGATGTTCCTTCACACATAAACCTCATAAAAAAACCATCGAAAAAATCCGGTTTTTAACCCTGACGCGATCGTATAATGGGATCAGATCCACGATCTAAAAGTGCTGTTCACCGACATTCTCTGATACAACCAGACTTGTTTAACAATAGCGATCTCATGCTAATTGTATCTAACTGGCTCGCCATGTCTGTCAAGATGTTAGGATTCCAGACACCAAGGTGGAACCCGTAACAGACCAAACTAGTTCTTGTAGTCCCTTGTGCAAACGCCATCTACCGGCGGATGTGTGTACGCCACCTAGCGGCTAGAGTGCAAGGGCGTGTAATAAGGTAGCGCTGTCGGTAAATGCGGTGTTGGGGACCATGATCGACTGGTTGCTATTCTCTTGCCCCTAAATTTGTTTGTAAGTCAATCATCTATCAATAACACCAATGTCAGCGTGGGGTTTATGTGTTCGCTCGTCACGCCGACGACCCGGGTTTGATTCCCAACATGGGTACAATGTGTAAAGCCCATGTCAGGAGTGCCAACATATTTCTGGAATAGCGGTGACATCGTCGAAAAGCAATATTCACTCACTGCGGTGTTTCTCGGTCATATTTCACATAAGCATATATTTTGAAAAATGTTTATTCTGAATTAAAAAAAGACCTTTTTTTCAAATTATCTAAATAGGGTGCGGTGATGTCATGTCAGCGGAATGATTTTACCGAGATATTGCAACACGTGTGTGTGTGAGTTCGTGTGTATGTGTGCATGTATTTTGTTTTTGTTTATTGTATGTGTGTGTGCGTGTTTGTGTGTGCGCGATCGTGCGTGTTTTCTAAATGATGGTAAGCGTTTTTTTCAGACTTACAGGGTTACACTAAAGAAGTTAAGATGCCTTCGACCAATGCCAGCATTTCAGTTCCCCTTTCTCCGAAATTCCAAAGAATCCAGGAACAATGGAAAAAAATGACCTTACTTCCAGCTCGACCCAAAGTGCAGTCCAAAATAGCAACAACAATATTTCATTTGAGCATTTAATGTGAAGGTACAAATAGTAATTGCGGGTGATGTCACCAAGAGTCTGCTTGAAGCTAAAAGAATCAATAATTCCTTTGAAAGACGCAATAATGGTGCCCCGAAACAGGGTAATCTAATTTATTTAGGACTAAGTTTAGAGCAAGGCTTAAAATGTGCTCGACTGCGCAAGGTTAGAAAGACACTAATCTGCTTGTTTGGGCAAAGAGAACCAGAATAGACTAGAAATGGGCGAAGGTTAAAGAGGAGGTGTCACGATAACTGTTTGGAACTGGAAAAAAACATTCGATACCATTTGCGATATGTGTGCAGATTAAACCACTCGAAATCGGTTTTTGACCATTTCAAAATTGCTTTCATAACCTTATTAAAAAAGTTATTCAAGAACTCTATGCTTAACTTTGAGAAAACTGTGGGATTCAACCCTGCGAGATGCACGCGGCATGTTAGTTTGATATGGAAGGAAGGTGACCGGTTCGAACCCACGATCTGGGCAAGCCCTAAAAGGGACGTTAGTGTGCAGGGCGATTTGGGGCGCCTTAGATGTCTGGGTAACCAGTGCCGCCTTAAACGAGTGGACGGGTTTTCATGCAGTGTATGAGAACAGTCCCCCCCCCCCCCCCCCCCCCCTCACACACACACACACACACACACACACACACACACACACACACACACACACACACAACCCCCATTCCCCCCCCCCCCCCCCCCCACACACACACACACACCCCCACACACACACACACAACCCCCATTCCCCCGCCCTACACACAGACATCACCACCACTCTACGCCAGCTGCCGTAACAGTCGTTTACGGTGGGGATCGAGCGGTCAAAGTCGCTGCTTTTGATGTCGTACTTTCAGAGTCGTTACTGTACAGGTCGCCGTGATATAGCTGGATCCTTGCTGTGTGCGGCGGTTAAGAACATTCATTCACTCACTAACTATTTTGTCGGGGACCATATATAGCTCAGTGATGCATGTGCTTGTTTGTAGATATTATGGTTATATTCCATTGGTACCATTGGATAAAAAACATTTCATGCGAGCATATGTTCATATGTTTACTAACGTACCTAGCACGGAGAAGACGACGGTGGCGGTGAAGATGGAGGTGAAGAAGTCACAGATGGTAACGAAGAGCGTCTCCTTGAGGAAGTTACTCCTTACAGGGTTGTAAGAGGAGAGCGCGATCAGACAACCAAACGCCAGTCCAAAGGAGTAGAAGATCTGCGTAGCAGCGTCCAGCCACACCTGGGGGTCCTTCAGTCGACTCCACTGTAGAACATGATGTTATGTCCATTATTTAATCGGCAGATTGTGAAATACTGTAAATAGTGAAATTAATGCGACTGCAAAAGAATGCGACCACTGGCCCCTGGCCAAAAATGCGACACCCCCTTCCTTTATTACTTACTTACTTACTTACTTACTTAAATTAGGAATTTAACGTGCGCTTTCCGACATGTGCGTATTTCGCGCACGGGCCCGCCAGGCCACTTAGGGTATGTCCGAAAAGGTGAGGCAACCTAGGTGGGCTTTTTTTAGGGTTGCTTACTTAATTTGGAGAACAAATTTGGAATTTTGAAATATGCCATGCAAAAGGTGGAGAGGGGGACTAAAAAAGTTTTTGTGTTTTTATAGGTTTAGAATTTTAGGGTTTATTGGCAGCTTGTTTGTTGTGCTTTTATTTTTAAATGCGGCCAAGTAGGCCTGTTTTGATAAGATATATGCCTAGTGCTTTAAATGTTTGTAAGTCATTTAGGGGGTATAGTACCGTTGCTAGTGTCATTTGATTGTTGCAATTAAGTGTGGATTGGAGTGTTGTTCTGTGTCGCAGGTAATGTGTGTAGTATAGTATTTCGTGTTCAGGCGTTTCTTTTAAGTTGCAGTTGCAGCACCTTGAAAATTGTAACCACATAAAACCTGACCAAAGTGGCTTCAGGAAGGGACACTCGTGTCTAAATCATATTCTAAGACTGGAAAATGAAAAAAAAAAGCTCAGTTAAACAGACAATACCTAGCCGCAGTATTTCTGGACTTCAGCAAAGCCTTCGACATGGTATGGCATGACGGACTCCTCTCAAAACTAGCACAAAATGGAGTAGAAGGGAACATGGCAAACTTCATAGACAGCTTCCTGCAACACAGGTCGCTATCAGTTAAAATATGGAAAATCGATCTGATTCTATGGCACTGGACAATGGCACGCCACAAGGCAGCATTATAAGCCCAACCCTGTTTAATATCATGATCAATGATCTTTTTGCCCATGTCAACTCTCCTACCCAAACTTCTAAATTCGCTGATGACGGAGCAATATGGGTAAAGCGCAGAGATATTTCACAAATCAGAAAAAAACTACAGTCAGCCCTGGACGGAGTAGATCAATAGTGCAATAAATGGGGATTCACCCTTTCAAGTGAAAAAACTGTTGGAGTTCTATTCAAACTCCGGGGGAAAGATGCTATGATATCCCTTGTCTCTATAAAAGGCAAACCAATCAAATTCGAAAAATGTGCAATATTTCTTCGGGTGATCCTTGATCAACACCTCACTTGGCGCAAACATATAGAATATGTGGAAAACAGATGTCAAAAGGACCTGAACGTATAACGGGCAATTTCAGGCACATCTTGGGGCACATCGAGGGACACTCAGCTGGACCTCTACAAATCTCGTATCAGATAAAAAATTGACTATGGTTGTGAGGCTTTCATTCAGTATCAAATACTGTCTTGAGGCGCCTAGACAATACAATACAAAGCCCTAATGCTGGCCACAGGCGCAGCAACAGGCACCTCACTCCCATTGAAACTAAGAAGAGAGCAGGCAATATTATCGTACAGGGGACGAACATCAAACCCTTTGGTTAAAAAGATGTGGCAAGACAAAAACACTTGAGATGAAGCCCCAGCTCCAGGCCATAAAAAAACAAAAACACAAAAAACGCCCCAAACTAATACAACATATACTTAAAAGCGCCAACAATCTACGTGAACTAGGTAAAGACATAGAAATAGTTTGGATCCCTGCCCACGTTGGAGTGTTTGGCAACGATCACGCAGACAAAGCAGCCAAATCAGCACTGAAATTAGAAGAAGTAAGCATCAACCTACCAATATAAAAAAAACCCCGAAACTAAAAGTCTCACAAAGGAGAAAATCTTCCAAAAGTGGCAAAATAACTATCAGAAATGTGACTGCAAACTAAAACACCTGCTACAAAAGCCACTCAAAAAAGCAAAAATCCATCATAAAACCAAAAACAATTGACAGAGTAAAAACTAAACTACAAATAGGCCACACTAAGTTAAACTCCCACCTACACCAAATTAAAAAAAACACCAAACCGGTAAATGCCCCCACTGCAACTTAAAAGAAACGCCTGAACACGTAATACTATATTGCACACATTACCAGCAACACAGAACAACACTCCAATCCACACTAAATTGCAACAATCAAATGACACTAGCAACGGTACTAAATCCCCTAAATGACTTACAAACATTTAAAGCACTAGACATATATCTCATAAAAACAGGCCTACTTGGCCGCATTTAATGAAAAAAATAAAAGCACAACAAACAAGCTGCCAATAAACCCTAAAATTCGAAACCTATAAAAACACACAAACTCCCTTTAGTCCATCCCCCCCCCCACCCCACCCCCACCCCCCACCCTCCTCCACCTTCTGCATGGCATATTCCAAATTCCAAATTTGTTTTTTCAAATTAGGTAAGCAACCCTAAAAAGCCCCACCTAGGTTGCCTCACCTTTTTGGACATACCCTTTTCGACCAAATACCAAATCGCCTGGCGGGCCCGTGCGCGAAATACGCAGCGTATGCCTAAGTGGGTATTTCTGCTATCCAAAATGTCTTATTGTTGAGATAAATACCATGTTTAATAATGCGAGCAAAGACCATTTTTTCGCATTTAATTCACGCTCGCGTTAATTTACAGATTTACAGTAAACTGCCAGGCAAAAGAAAGCTTACACCCATGTTGGATTGTGGCTAAAATGAAACAAATAAGAAATTTTTATTCGAAAGTGATGTATTTGATACGGGAATCATAGCTATGTTTTGGACTTTAAGTTTTATGTTTCGGCGACTGTTTTCAGCCTTGTAACGTTTTGATAACTTTTTTAACGTTTTGGGGCAATCCAATTTTCAAGTGTATGGTATTACTTTCTTTTGCCCGTCAGTGTAGTTACACGTGATGCAACAGTGGCTCTTATCTCAGACAAAACAAATGAAGTTTACTGGTCTGCAAGAATTATAGCCCAACTGGTGTGTGATCTCTGAATTGGTGTCTCATTTGAAAGTCATATGATTGTCTGCAGACACGCGTAACATCATCCTAGATACGGCGTTCAGTAATGATCCAAGTGGGAGTCTAGCCAAAGCTGGGGGCAGCCGCACTTTAAGCAGGCGTACAAGTACATTTCTGACTCATACCACTGTGTTGTAATATTCTATTTTCAAATAGGAATGTCATTGTTCGTGTTTACTATAGTGTTTGTTTCTGAGAATATTCGCCCCCAATTTCTGCATAATTGCTGAAGCGGTGTTAAATGTGTGTGTGTGTGTGTGTGTGTGTGTGTGTGTGTGTGAGAGAGAGAGAGAGAGAGAGAGAGAGAGAGAGAGAGAGAGAGAGAGAGAGAGAGAGAGAGGGGGAGGCTCTGCGGCCACTGCTACACCCACCACACAACGGAGGCGGTCGCTCTGAGGAGCATGCATTTGAGAACGGGAGAAGTGTAACATGGTTAAGTCTCACCTCTGGCACAAACAGGTGCTCCAGTCCCTTCTCGAAGCCGTGCAGTGTGACTCCCCTGAAGAAGAAGATGATGAGCACGAGATAGGGGAACGTCGCCGTCACGTACACCACCTGGAGGACATAGAACATGGTTGTATACACGAGTTGTGTCCCCTGTCACGTACACCACCTGGAGGACACAAAACATGGTTGTATACACGAGTTGTGTCCCCTGTCACGCACACCACCTGGAGGACATAGAACATGGTTGTATACACGAGTTGTGTCCCCTGTCACGCACACCACCTGGAGGACATAGAACACGGTTTAATACACGAGTTGTGTCCCCTGTCACGTACACCACCTGGAGGACACAAAACATGGTTGTATACACGAGTTGTGTCCCCTGTCACGCACACCACCTGGAGGACATAGAACATGGTTTTATACACGACTTGTGTACCCTGTCACGCACACCACCTGGAGGACATAGAACATGGTTTTATACACGAGTTGTGTCCCCTGTCACGTACACCACCTGGAGGACACAAAACATGGTTGTATACACGAGTTGTGTCCCCTGTCACGCACACCACCTGGAGGACATAGAACATGGTTTTATACACGAGTTGTGTCCCCTGTCACGCACACGACCTGGAGGACATAGAACACGGTTTAATACACGAGTTGTGTCCCCTGTCACGTACATCACAACTTCGAGTAGCGGACAATCACACGGTGGACACGGTGTATACATGACTTTATGTATACTCCCTATAATGTTGTGTACCTTCCCCGAAGCCATTTGTTGTTCCAAAGAGACTCCGAATCTGCATGAATCTGCATTTTCCAAAACTGACGGAGCAGAGAGGATACAGACTGATATGGGTGTGTCCGAGCTGGACGAACGTATCCCATCTGCCCCCTGCACGATCTCCACTACAACTATCCCATCAAGCTCCCGTACGATCAGGGCCACGTTCAGCAAAGCCATCTTAGCTCCATTGCCGTTTCGTTTGTTTGTTGTTTAACGCCCTACTCACTCATGAGCATCGATACCACGTAATTGAGATACGATGACATGCATCAATCAAGTCAGCGAGCCTGACCATCCGATCCCGTTAGTCGCGACTTACGACAAGCATGGGTTGCTGAAAACCTTTTCTAACCCGGATCGTCACTGGTCTATTGTCGTAAGTCCGATCGACTTAGCGCTAAGATCTCTTTGTGGAACGCGCCTCTGGACTGTACTAAAAGTAACCCAACAAAGTCCGCCATTACTACCATCCACAATATCTCGCCACATGCTTTCAAGTCATTTCTGAAAATGCCCGTGGCACTCCTTAATTAGGGACATGGAGATTTACAACGTCGAAAGCATATACAAGCACCATCAATCTGATCAGTGTAACCACATTGTCCAGGCTGATGTTCCCACAATCAGCAAATAATTCCTCTTTGGCAAATTTTTCCTCTTCAAGACACTATTAAGGTGGCTGAGTTGATTGAATACTCACTACTCTCAACTTGTAATGGGGATGCAATCATAGGAAGAACCATTCTGGAAGTGGTGGTGGTGGGGGGTGCAGTGACGTGGTATGTGCTTCGAATTGTCAGCCACATGCACGACAATGGAGGAATGGGAGGTCGAAGGAGTCGTCGAAGGCAGTGGGGGATGGTGGGGGAGGAGGTAGAGGGAGGGGAAGAGAAGATGGCGATCTGCGCTCTTGAGGTAGAGAAATTAGTAGTCACATGGGCGAGGAAGAAAAATGTAAAAACGTTGTACAGGAAACGCTGAACGCTTAAATAAATTCCATTACCTAACATGTCAGCGTTACTGCACTATGAAACCCGTTTAGATCAATGATTTTCCTTCAGTTTGGCAACATTCGTTTGGAAGTCTGCAGATCTTCTTTTCTGAATAAAGAACTAGCGTTTGTGGGATGTACGTATGATCAGGAAAACTTGCATGTTCCGCCATACTGAACACAGTCAGCGTTAACTACCTGAATTCAACTTTAATAATATCACGACGAAGCAAATACTCTTAGAAACGGAATCCAGAATGATAAAGAACAAGTTACTTTTTTAATGCACCTGGTTTGTTTGTTAGGAAATGAAGGCCAAATTCTATGAATATACAAAAGAGATGAAAAGGATAAACTGAACTCTTCGTCGAACTATTCACAATTTATGTTGTTATATCAATATCTTCTTACAGGTGGGGTAGACTAGTGGTTAAAGTGTTCGTCACACCGAAGATCCGCGTTCGATTCCCCACATTTCTAAGACCAATTTCTTGGGTCCCTCGCCCTGAATTTGCTGAAATATTGATAAAAGCGGTGTAAAACCAAACTCACCCACTCTACTCAAAACAAAGAAGTTGTTATCACTAAGAACGTAACGACACTTTCACAGTGACTAAGTTGGTTGGAGTCACTTTACATATTAGTGTTTCAGCTGTATGTAGGCTGAACGAGCTAGATAAGCCCCGTGATGCAGGGCGTTCACGTTCACCACGCTTGTGAAACTCACGCACAGGGGGTTGATGCTGCAAACAACAATGGCGATAATCTTGTCGAAACTGGTTTTCGAACCAGAGCCCCGTTCCACAAAGCGATCTTAGTGCTAAGTCTATGTTAAAGTATGGGAGTTAAATCGTCTTAGTGCTAAAATCGCTTTGTTGAACGGAGCCCAGGAAGAGACGCGCTTGTCGGGAAAGGGACACAACTCTACCCACAGTTTAACACTTTTCATTTCAAGGCTACTCGTGTCTTTTTTAATGAATTTTGACATCATATAATTCATAAATGTGCTGGAGCATGCTTATTATTCAAATCATTTCTTACTTCTCTGGTGATCTCTAAGTCCAGATGAGCTACACACGTGTGGGTGTTCCTATACAAAATCCCCGGCTTCCATTAAACTCGAGAATATGTCAGTATTTCATTAGATTTATAGGACCGAGATATAAATATACGTCGACATGGGTATTTGGGGAGGAGATGCTATCAGAGGCAGACACAGAGCTTCACTTTGCCAGATTAGATGGCGGCCTGCTCAGAAGGTGCTGAAGAATCGATGAAGTCTTGTCCAGATGAATGCCAGCGTCCGTTGCCGACGTGATGCTCGTGAATGGTTCAAGTCCGGGAGAGTGTCAGGTAGATGTAGTCTCCGAGGCATCCCCGACACCCTATCATGGAGTAAACTACTGTTGGACATCATCGTCTCTAAGCACGCAGACAATTAGGCCACTGGTGTTGTTCTAGAGACACCGGTGCTTGGCTTCCTGGGAGTGGGCGCTGTTTTAAAATCGAACAGGTATTCCCCATACATCAACCAGCCCATCGTTATTGTTTTGTGTGCTGGAAGCTAATCATTAATTCAGTGTCATCGTCAGGTTCAAGAGAGTAGGTTGTTATGTTGGCGGTGATTTACGCCGGGGTAATGGAGATGACCCTGTTTAAACCGAGGCAGGCAAGTGTGGGAGAGGGTGAGGATGGGAGTTGTCAGACATGGTCATGAGAAAACAGGCTTGTACTGAATAATATTCGTTCGTACACTTGTACCCTCAGGGATGAGTCGTCTAGAATAAACACGCTATATTACGGCAGTATGTGGACAGAGATATATAATAGACCAGCACCTGTACTGAAGGTCGACTCTGTTTAGTGAGTGAGTTGGTTTTAACGACGCTTTGAAAAGTATTTCAATGATAAACACACGAGCAGGGTAATGGTGCTGACAAACCAAGGATCATAATCTGGGATTCGAACCAACTATAACGAATTTTCGTACAACTAAGGGACGCAACTCTGCACAGCGAATTGTTGCTGACAAAGCGAGGATCATAATCAGACAAATCTGGGGTTCGAACCTGAAACCAGTGGATCGTGTGACTATAAAGGGACGCAACTCCGTACAGCGAATTGTTGCTGAGAAAGCGAGGATCATAATCAGACGAATCTGGGGTTCGTACCTGAAACCAGCCTATAATAAACAATACATAGAAAGTGAGTGAGTATGGTTTTACGCCGTTTTTAGCAATATTCCAGCAACATCACGGCGGGGGACACCAGAAAGGGTCTTCACACATTGTACCGATGTCGGAAATCGAACCCGGGTCTTCGGCGTGACGAGCGAACGCTTTAACCACTAGGCTACCCGACCGCCCCTGATACATAGAGAAGTTAAGGAAAACAACATAACGGCAATTAAATATAAGAATGGGTTTACAACTCACCTTTCCGGAGGACTTGATCCCCTTAATGATGCAGCAGTAGACAATGATCCACGCCGCCACGAGGCCGACACACATCTTCCAGTTGAGGTGGGGTGGGGACTCCACGGTGGGGGCAGTGTTCAGCGTCTCGCGGTACCAGAAGTACGTGGTGGGGCTGCTTTTCTTATGAGAGAGGGAAAGAGATAACATCAGACTCATGGGACAGATTGTGAATGAAGACAAGAATTAGTGGTACAAACTTAGAGAACGCGTATGAATTAGCCCATATACCAGCCTTCCAGTAGCATTCGGGTTACCAATTACCTTTTGTTTGTTTGTTTGTTGTTTAACGCCGCACTCAGCAATATTCCAGCTATATGACAGCCGTCTGTAAATAATCGAGTCTGGACCAGACAATCCAGTGATTGACATCATGAGCATCGATCCAAGCAATTGAGATCGATGACATGCTTCAACCAAGTCAGCGAGCCTGACCACCCGATCCCGTTAGTCGCCTCTTACGACAAGCATAGTCGCCTTTTATGGAAAGCATTGGTTACTGAAGACATATTCTACCCCGGATCTTCACAGGCAACCAGTTACCTACTTTATACGATAGAGCAATGGATATTGTATCATATGCTGTAATCAATAATTATATTACCGTAATCAATGAACCGCCAGATGAAATATAATAAAACCTCCAAGCACAGAGCATGAATTTTGTTTTTGTTTTATGGTTAATAGCAATTATGTAAATTATAAATACTATATTCTATGTGACAAATCATGAGATATGGCACCCTATGGGTGAAGAATAACAATTTGACTTTTCATTATATTTGAAAACTACAGCATCTTCGGATCACATAAATACAATTCACAAGCTTCAATTCATATTTATTACAGAAATACATGACATCACACATGGTTATCTTCACTGAAGTAAGTTGACGTCAAACGTCTTATGACGTCATAGCTGAATTGTATTCTAGCACCTATAAGGTCCCCATTCGTCACCACTCGCCCCTTTCCGTAACCTGTAAGAAGACTCGCCCCCTATCGATGAATGTTATGTGCGAAAATACGACAAACCACTCAGAATGCGCGTATGATTTCAAGTTCTTCGTCAAAGAATCCCTCAGAAATAATTTTTGATTTTACATATGTCTTGCATCTAAAAAAATACCCAAGACACAGTTTAATGTGTTCAATCATACTGTATAATTCTGCATGTCCAGATGTGCTTTAAATTGCATCTGAAATATATATAATATATGGGGAAATAAATGTGAACCATTACGCAACGAGTTGACAATTGTTTTAGGTATGCCCGTTTGCGCTAAGACCGAACCCGGTCGCAAAAATGGCCACGAGAGGGGCACGAGTCGCTATTCGGCTTGTCCCGGAATAACACGAGTTGGTCACGAATGATAAGGTCCCCTTTCTCCTGGTTGGTCACATATATAGGTAGGACGTGTAGGGGGGTAAGAAGTGTGTCTCACCTGATTGTGGTAGGAAGCTTATAGGGACAAGAATGTTGTCTTACCTCACATTCCGGATCCAGAATAACTGTGCTGTTACCCTCCACCCGATGGGGGCATGAGGCCCAGGGGAGAGGACTCTGAAAGCTCTGGCCGAGGTAGATGAGGCACCATGCCATGATGGTGTTGTAGTAGAGGGCTACGTTGAAGGACACCACTGCAGAGGCGATGCCAAGGCCCCCCAGGTAGGGGGATACCTGGCTCCATGCTCCAACGGCTCCTTTCCTCAGACGCTGACCGATCGCAAGTTCCAGGAAGAAGAGTGGTATACCCTCTATGGCCAGCATAATGGCGTATGGCACCAGAAACGCCCCTGTGAAGAATGACATGGTTTGAGTGCAATGATGAACATTGCTCCTTTGAACTGCATCATAAATGTGTTTTTTGTTTTTTTGTTTTTTTAACGCCGCACTTAGCAATATTGCAGCTGTATGATGTGGGCCTCAGAACGGATATCGGGGAACTTTTATTAAACCGTCTTGATATAATAATATTTGACCTCGGAAGAAACTCGGGTGATATTCTTTAATTTTAATTCATTCCTTGTGAGTGAGTGAGTATGGTTTTATATTCCAATATTCCAGCTATATCACGGCGGGGGACACCAGAAATGGGCTTCTCACATTGTTCCCATGTCGGGAATCGAACCCGGGTCTTCGGCGTGACGAGCGAACGCTTTAACCACTAGGCTACCCGACCGCCCCTCATTCCTTGAGATTTCGCTGCAATATTTATGTTTGTGTTTTGTTTGTTTGTTGTTTAACGCTGCAATATTTCAGTTATATGATGGCGGCCTGTAAATAATCGAGTCTACACCAGACCAACGTTTGGTTGATATCATGAGCAACGATTCACGCCGTCGGTGTACGATGACACTCAATCAACCAAGCTACCGAGCCACATCACGCGACCCATCAACTCGCTTCGTACGAAAATCCTAGTTTGCTGTGACCAGGGCCCTCCTGCACAAAGCGTTCTTAGCGCTAAGACTATCGTAAGCCTATGTTAAAGTATGGGAGTTACGATCATCTTAGCGCTAAGATCGCTTTGTGCAAGTGGGCCCAGGTCTAATCCTGGTACCATATAAATTCCTATATAATTGAACGTGATCCTTTTCTGAAACAACTTTGCAGACTTGTTTCACCGCAACACATACCAACTTTGATGCAGATACATGTTTTTAAAAAAAATTAAAAAGGCGTGCATCGTATAGTTGGTACATATATGGCGATGCGGTATAACAATTTATCGTGCACTACAACCCTACGACACCTGTAGGGTTAATCTTGTTTCCGTTTTACCTTCCTCATCGCCCGAACCTTGAACCGCCATCCAATCAATTTGTATTTAACGCGAGAGCACATGAAACTTAAAATAGACAATGTTGACCTTATATATAATTTCTTTTCAAAAGGGATGTTGCCTCTGTTCATAATTCTCACTGGTATCAACTGTATTAAATCGACAAGTTTTACATTAGTTTTCAATCTAACTAAGCTCCAACAGCGTCTTACCAGGGGACTCTATTATGTTATTGGTAAACGTGATGGGAGCATTATAAGGTGTATTGATTGGCTAAGTTGTCTGACAAGAGTAACCACCATCTTTATCTTCATCAACGTCGAAGTTTAAACACGTAAACGAAAGGATCACTTTACAGTCAATGAATCCTTCCTCGGTTGTCTCCCTTCGAAGAATTCTCCTCCATCAACATTCGATCTAATAAAGCCGACAAGCTGTTTGATATCTTGATTAGCCGGGATCCGGGTTAATCGATGAGTGCAGAGCAAATACAACACATGCACATTTCACTTCATCATCTTGCTAGACGCAGTTGCTGCTGAGGGCGTACCTACTCGCCTAACAAACGCTTGGCACGAATAAGATGGCGTCGATGGGACGGCCCACGTGACGAAGCTCTGTATGAGGTGGTCGGGTACAACTGTTGACGTTCACGTTGCGTGATGTCGATGTGGGAATCTCTGGCTTAATCATGATCATTTCCCGCCCACAACTGAACATGTCGTGCGACAGAAATAACATTGAATGACAGCCACGGATCGCTCAGTACACATATATTGTCCCGAGGTAACTATCTATGAAAAGCTTTGCGTTTAATGAGGTCGTATTATCCTTGTCGTGACATGGACTTTTTATGTGATGTATTGAGGAGATAATATAAAATTATTATGATTCATCTTTATTGAATATTAACGGACATGGCACAGTCGTCTGAGGCGCCGCAATTCGCTTTGCAGAGTTGCGTCCCTTGGGCACGCCAGAAACCTCTATTTGAGGGTTTGAATCTCGCTTCGCCCCTTTATAATTGCACCATGCCCTATATAGATGTATATGTATATTTTGGACAAGGCACTGGTTGGTGCAAGTCAAAATATAGTCTGTGTTCTGTTTCATGTTTCTAGGTTTGTCAGCACCATGCCCATGCTCGTGGGATTTACCAAAGTGGTAAACTTCTTAGACCTGCATCACCTCGGTCTTTTCTCCCACATGAAGCTGACACGCCGTGATGTAACTGGAATACTGTTCAAAGCGGTTAAACCCAACTCACTCACTCATCTTTATTGGAAGGTGATGGACTCCTTTTAGAAATAATATAGGGTGGTATTGATGTTCCTTTTTACCCTTATCCGAAGTTGGCAGAGTGAGCTTCAACATACAATTACAGTAAAGTACGGTTATAACGAACTCAAAGGGACTACTAATTTTAGTTCGTTTTAACCGTAGTTCGTTATAAGCATATATACAGCATAACTACAGCAAATAGTCGGGACCAAAAAAGAAGTTCGTTATATCCGTCAGTTCGTTATAAGCGTGTTCGTTATAACCGTAGTTTACTGTATATAAAAGGGAGTAAGTTCAATCGCCATACAGCTAGAATATGGAGTGAGGCAAACGATCAACCGATGGCATATTTGACTGACTGAGGCCTAGGCCTTGTGATGTGTATGTGTGCGCGCGCGGAAATTGAACAATATATTTTTTGGGTAAAATTTTCCACTTTCGTAATGGAAAAGATGTACATAATTAAATTTGAGTTAACTGACAAATACAGTGGCTTTTAAAATCATTAAATTTTAAATCCTGTGTTTTTCATTTAATTTTGGTCTGATTCTCCTCAGATACCGATGCATTCAGAAAACTTCCAATCCAGTATTCAGTTATCTTGAGGAACGACCGTACACCAGGGACGTGAGTTTAGGGCAATGCTACATCTCAGAGATAATTAGATATTTATGTGTTTGTTGGGAGCTATCGATCTTAATTGACGATAACACTGTTTAAGGTTAACCTCCAAGTGACCTCTAACCCTGCGTCAGTCCCTGCAGGAAGGGCAGCCCAGGGGAACAGATGAACCAGTTTTAATTAACGGAAATACAAGTGAGTGCATATTGTTTTACACCGTTTTTATGAATATTCTAGCAATATCACGACGGGAAACACCAGTAAATAGCTTCAAAGACTGTACCCATGTGGGGAATCAATCCCGAGCTTTCGGCGTGACGAGAGAACGCTTTAACCACTAGGCTACTCTACCGTCCAACAGGAATAGAAGCGTGAAATAGTCATCAAATCATATCAATATTAACTATACCTGCATTTAACGGTACATTTGCATATGATGTTGTGTTAGCTCATGATACATTGTGGAGTTTTCGCTATCATGGAGGCTCATGTACTCTCCTTTTCGGAAGGAACGCTTCGATAAAATGACAATAACGACTGTATTATTTGTTATCCTTCGATAAATGGAACTGAAATCCAGTAAATGTCTTAATTGACCAGCGTATTCCATGATGGCAGGAGTGAGATGATGATTGTTGTTCTCAGTATTACCCCAGCTATGTCAAGATGTCCTTAAAATACGTCCGGACCAGATGAACCTGTGGTTGATAACATGAGCAACGACCCCGCCCGTCAAGGCAAGGCAAGACACCCAGTCAGACAGGTCAGACAGCGTAACCAGTCAAGCCTCTAAAGTCCACTGTCGCGTCCCTTAGGCGTGTCGCAAACTTATGATCATGGGTTCGAATCCCAGATTGGTCGAGGACCTGGTTGGTTGTCAGCTTCATACCCGTGCTCGTAGGATTCCTTAAGTTATACTCATATGCATCACATGCATCACCTCGGGCTTTCATACCACAACAAGCGTGATATACAGTAAACTACGGTTATAACGAACACGCTTACAACGAACTGACGGATAAAACGAACTTATTTTTTTGGACCAGACAATTATTGTTACAAGGAATAAGCGGGATGATAGCCGCATCGATATTCCTCTGAATTGAAGTAAAATTGCAGAAATTCTGCAACATTTTTCGATCGGTAAGGGGGCACGGGTGGCCCAGTCGTCTAAGGGCACGCCAGAAACCTATGACTGTGGTTCGAATCCCGGTTCGTCCCGACTATGTTTCGAGGTTTGTCGTACCGAGGTTTGGACCACCGAAGTGGTAAACGTCTGAAACCTGCATGACACGGGCTTTCCTCCCACATTAAGATGACACGCCCTGATATAACTGGAATACTGTTCAAAGGAGTGTTAAACCAAACTCACTCACTCACTCATAAATTGACTCCAACAATAAGCGAGGGATATTGGACGCCTGTTCTACACAGAAATCCCCTGCAAAAAGAACTGCAAATATGACAGAAATAACAATGCTTTATGTAATGCTGAGAGTATATAAATGAACCCAAATCTTGCAACAAACCTTGTACCGATTGCAAACTGGTTTCATTGGAAAATAAGTAAAAAAGCGAACCATTAAAAGATTAATATTTCCAATTGTTCCAAAGGAAAATCAATGGGATACTGAGGGTTGTTTACACTCAAAGAGGTCAAAGGTGAAATATGAGTAAAAACAGATGCATAAAATAATTTTTTCAGTGATTGACTATGTGTTGAATGTCAACATCAGCATTTCCTTTCATCACAGTCAAAAGTATAATCGGTTATGTCTGTAATTACGATACTTTCTATGGCATATTCAGATATGCTACACGTTATACGTAACCCCACGTTTCTCATCATATTTGCACCAATCTCCTCTAGGCCCCCTATAAATAGGAGCTTCCAACGCTAATTTGTCTTCTATATCGCCAACAACTCCAACAACGACTGACATTTACGACAATGAACAGGAAGCAGCGAATCGATCAATGGTAAACATCCTGTATGGTAGATATCACACCTATAGTCGAGGACATCCTTGCGTTAATGTTGACTTAAATCCGCGGGACAAAGAAGGTAGGATCGAACGGAACGAGCACACAAGAAATCCAAGTGACATG